TATTAGCCAACTTTTTTTCAATACTCGGTAACAAAGGAATGTCTGTATAAGACCACTAGGGAGGAGAGATGGTTAATACAAAGGGAACGGTGAACGGGTCTCTTACTATTGAGTCAGAACCTGGCGCTGTCAACGTCTCAACCACCACAAAGAAACAGGCTTCCAGAAAACCAATGGTCAATGGGGACGGTGGAGTTTAGCATTCCCAGGCCCTAAAGTCTGGCAGTACCCCAGACTTGCCCTGTCAGCGCCCCTTTCCAAAGGAACGGATTTCCCTCTTCCCTCCCCACCCTTCGAGTAAATAAGGCTAGCAGCGCAAAGTGCACATCCCGGGGGACCCAAGACACCCGGGCCGAATGCAAAAAACCCCCAAATAGAGCCCTTTCTGGGAAAGTGCTGCTTCCAGAACCTTCTCAACACCACTCCTGCTTCCCCTCGGAGCTTTTACTTTAAACCAGCTAAGATGGAAAGGAAGGACTGAAAAGAACAGGCAGGGCCGCTCCCTAGAACCAGACGCCAGCTGCCCCAGGTGCGCCAGGTGCACGCCCGGAGGCGTGGGGGCAGGGGAAGGTGGGCTCTGGAGGGCCCTGCACCTCGCAATGGGCCCGAGGGCGGCGGAGGCGCCTCTGGGTGGGGGTGGGTGGGCGATGGGTGGGTCCCTTACGGTCTCCCTCAGCTTCCTCTCGTAGTCCAGTTCGCGCTGCAGGCTGCCCGCGCGCTCCTCCGCGGCGTCCGCCTGCTCCTGCAGGCTCCGGATTTTCCTCCGCACCGCCTCCAGCGAGCTGCTTCCAGCCATCGCTCGGGGCGGCGGCGGCGGCTGGCTGCGGTGGGAGAGGCCGGCTGCTGCGCTCCGGCCGCCACTGCCGCACTCCTGAGCGCCCAGCCGCCCCGCCCAGGCCGCGCCGCGCCGCGCCGCGCAACGGCGGCGCCCCCAGCGGCCCAGGACTAGCCCGGAAGTGGTGGTCTCCCGGGCGGCGCAGGCGAACCGCAGGCGGGTGCGCGAGCGCCGGGGGCGGGCACAGCAGGCGGGGCGGGGCGGGGCGGGGCGCGCGCCGCGGACCCCGGGAATTTGCAAACCGGGGAGATACTGCGCATGCTCGTGGCATCCGGGCGGGTGGAGGCGGTGGGCGCGCTGAGGGTCACCTGGAGAGCTGGGCACGGCCGGGTGGCAGGCCAGCGTGCCAGGGATTTTACTTGGACTCCCAGCGCCCCTCCCTGGCTCCACGTTGACCCAGGGTAACGGACCTGGCTGTTAAGGGCGACGGTGCCGCCTACTGGCGGCGGGAGCACCGCACTCAGGAGTTCTGGATTCCCAAGCCGGGGAGGGAGAGAAGCTGAACGAGGGGTTTGGGGCCAGAATGTGTCCCCAGAGGGACCTAAAGAACCCCAGCACGCAAGGGCCTAACCACAACAACCTTCCTCCCTCACCAAACTCGCGAAGTGGAAGCCACTAACATATTGCATTGTGATTAAACCTCCTTCTAAATGCAGCCTTCCTAGGTTAGAATCCGGCTCCTAGATCTCTCCTGGCTGTTGACTTTGGTCAAATAACTGGACTTTTCTGGGCTTCATCTATAAAAGTGGGGTTAATGGTACTACTTTCCTCATGGGGCTGTGGCAAGGATTATGAAATCATACAAAGCACTTAGCACAATACATTGTGCATAGTTAAATGATCGCTTTAGTGATACAGATGCAGGCACTGTCTTAAAGTCAGGCGGGGGCGCATAACCAGCTGTGTTCTCAGGGCCCGGAGCCTCTTTGGGGCTCACTTTCCTTTCCATAAAAACAATCATTTCGAGGGTCCCTTATACTTACAAACTTCTCTGGTTTTAGATCAGCCTCAGAGATCTTCTGGAATCCGACCAATTCTGGGCTGGACTGAGATGCCTTTAAAAAGGCACAGCCGTGAAGGCTACAGAACCCTATGAGAGCCTCTGGCTACAGCTGGTTGAAAACCCAATCTCTGGGAACCGTCCTCTGCCAATTCTCCCACTGGGCTGATTTTTAAATGCCTTGTAAGTCTCACGGCTCTCTTCCTCACCTTTCTCACAGGAGGCCCTTCAAGTCAATTTCTGATGTGTTTAAGTGTGGGAATAATGAAGGATAAAAAATATACTTGACACCCCCCTTCTCCAAAGCCCTAACAACGACCCTCCTCCTTTGCTTTCCCCCACTCATTTTCTTTGGACTCTGTCTCAGTCTCTGCTAAGACTCTCACAAACCTCAGCATGTGCCCTCACGTCCTGTAGGTGGAGCCTCTGGCTTTGTTTCCACACAGTTCATCTGGTCAGGAGGAAGGTTACAAACTTCTCCCCTAGAGGAGTACAGACTGTGGGCCTCCAACTTTGAAGGTGGAGGAAGGGGGCGTCTGGGGGCCTCCAGGAGGAGCCAGGGAAACTGCCTGACACTTGCAAGTGCTCTCAAGTGCTCTCGGCAGCCAACTAATGACTTAATGTCCTGCTTTTCAAACACCTGGGAAAGATAGTTTCAGGTGAGTTCATTTTCATGCTGATGTCATTATACAAGAGTTTAGGGCAGTTCTCAACCTTGGCTGCACATTTAAAAAATACTAATGCGTGGGTTCCACTCCCATAGATTCTGATTTAATTGACCTGGGGTGCAGCCTGGATTAGGGGTTTTAAAACCTCCCTAGGAGATTCTGTTTACGTAAGGTGGGGAATTACTGATTTAGGAAGCAAAAACCTACAAGGAATAAAGACTCACATACTGCAAATATTAGATACATCACAATTATTGGGGAAGGAGTGGGGGGCCAGAGAGAAAATGGAACCTTTGATCCCCTTCAGGCTCATTTAGGTGGAACACCAAAAATTTCACACCAAAACCACCAAGGTGCTACCTTGTGAATTACAATCTTTCAAGCTAGAAAGACCCCCTCCTTCTGGAATAAGATATGTAAAGTATGTTGGTAAATAAGTAGAAAAACGTTTTTAGTAGTAGGAAAAAATGAAAATGTTTTTACACTGGTGAGTAATGACAGTAAAGTATCCTCATTCCAAATGTAGTATGAAGCTACCTCAGGAAGCTGACCTACCTCCCTCTTTCTCTAGTGATATCAGTCTCTTTCTCCTTAAGTCTTGGCTATTTTTACTAGTTAGGAATCACTTTAAATATAGCATTTCTTCACAAATGTTCTTCAACATCCCTACAGGTTCCAAACAACCTAAAATGTCTTAAAAGGGAAGACGATCAATATACTACAAAAAAAAAAAAGAAAGAAGAAAAAAAAAAAGAAAAGTACCATATTGGGGACAGTTTTCCAGCAGGAAAAAAAAGAACCAAAACAGTTTCGAAAATTTCCCTCCCCTGCTAACCACGCCCCCCCAAGGTAGCTTTAAATATCCTCATTTCCACTTCTGCCCCACCTCATTCCAGCATTCCCTTGAACAAGACTTTTCCGTAAGGACATGATAGCACTACATAGTTAATAATTACGATCTTTTTTCCCTTTAAGAATTGTAGTAGCTTTTTTCTCCTTCTCTTGCCTTCAGTCTTACTGGGCTATTTTCAAATTCTCTGCATTCTTTTCCTTATAAGGAATATCTCTCCTTGATCTATCAGCGGCTCTTTTGAAAAAGCTAAATAAACGTCCTGCTGGAGAATTTGGGGGAGACAGACATCCTCCATTTAACCTTATACGGAGCAGACATCTGATCTACATTATACAAAGCAGGCGCCGAGTTATGTGTGTTTTTTGGCTCTTTTTCTAAAGCCAGGTAGTTTGTAACTTTAATGTTTTAGCTAAGTCAGTGCTTCTCTGAACCCCTTTCCAATAATCTTGATGGTCATTGAAATACTTTTGTCTATTCTAAATGTCCTATGTCTGGATTTCTCATTTACAAAGCATGCTTGGAGATTACATTTTAAGCCTTTCAAGCCACAAAAAGCCTTTACTGGTTTCAAGACCCAAGACCCTCCAGCAATTTGCATTTTACTCTCATACAAGAAATTCTGCCTTTGTGCTTGGTAGTTCAGCTTCTGGGCACAGCTTTCCCCGGTGCTCATACATTCTTGGAATTGTTACTAACTTCCCAAGGAATTCTTTCCTAATTGGGCCTCTAGCCTTAATGAGCTTCTACAATGGAATCCAACAGTATGAAAAGAAGTCGTTCCTTTGGAAATCTAATGCTTGGCTTGACTTATGGGGCAGAAGAGACAGGCTCTTCAGCGAAAAAGATTCCAAAGTGCAGTGGACAAAGTGCTGGTAGAGTTTTTGCAGTATGTGCATCACCCCTGAAACTATGTGGTGGTTGTCAGAAGGCTGACAGGTGGGGGTGGGGCAAGCAGGAGGGGCAGGGGGCAGTTAGCTCACTATACCATATAAAGCACTGAGCTATATATAACTCCCAGGGTACTTTCAGGATCTAGTGCTGTCAGACTGCAGACCCAAGCAAGTATCATCTTCCCAGGCAGATCTTAAGGGCTGGATTAAGGCTTCCCTAGTGAGAAAGGAAGCCTCAGGGGTCTCTGCACTCCAACATCAAACTCAGCCTAATAAGTAAAAGTAGCACCATGCCATTGCTTCAATTTAGAGGCCAGGTCCTCTGTACCCTGATTAGACTCACCATGGACAACCAGGCATTCCCACCCACCTAAGGTGGCAAAGGAAAGTAAAGAAAACCAGGCATTCTGTTTGCACAAACCTTGGTGATGACACCTCAGAGGTTTTCTGCCACCAGGGAGGCAAGGTTCACCTCCAGCATCCAATTTCAGCCACTCCACTCCCAGCTTTTCACCCGCCCACCTCCACCCCCAGGAGTGGGGGAAAGAAGGAGAAAAAGAGGAGTGGATGAAATATAAATGAATGTGTGCAATAGAAGTCGGAGGCAGCATCCAGTGCTCTGGGCCATGTCAGGGCTGTGTGCGGGTTTCCAGCAGGAGGAGGTGGCCCTCCTCCATTGCTCCTTGGCCACTGTGGTGACCGCAGAGTGGCCACCGGGCAGGAGGTGAGGGAGGTAGTGTGTGCGTGCACTTACGTCTGTAGCCTTTTTCTCCGCCAGCTCCAACTTCTCCTGGGCATCTTTGAGAGCCTCGGAGTATTTGTCCAGTTCATCTTCGGTGCCCTTGAGTTTCTTTTGCAGCGACACCAGCTCATCTTCCAGCTGGGAGTTGGCCGTGGGGGACGGGGAGGGGTGGGGGTGGGGTGCAGCAGGCAGCGTGATCCCGCAGGGGAGGGGTGTGGGTGCACAGAACCAGAAGGACAGGGACAGCGGGAGAGAGAGAGAGGGCAAGACAGGGAGGGAGAGAGAAAGAGAGAGACAGAGTTAGCCATTCGTGCGCCGCGCCACGCCGCGCGCCCCGGGTACCTTGGCGGCGGCCTCATCCGCGGCCAGGAGGCTGTCCTCCGCCTTGTGCAGCTCCTCCAGCACCCGGTCCCGCTCGTCCTCCGACGCCCGCAGCAGGTTCTCCTTCGCCGCGATGTCCTCCTCGAGCTGGGGGGGGGGGCAGCGGCGGGCGGGCGCGGGCGGCCGGCACGGACCGGGTGTTAGACACACACACAACACACGAGCGCCTGGTTGGCTGGAGCCCCTCGGCTTGGGGCGCCGCCGACTTGGGGTTCAAGGGTCTCTAAGTAACCTCTTCTCTCCCGAAGCTGGAACCGCACTGTGGTCCACCCTGCACCCCCAACTCCCGCGGGACGAGGCCTCAGCGGGCTCAAGTCCACAACTGGGGGTGCAGAAAAACGCCCCTGTCTCCCTGGCCTTCGGGCCGTACTCTCTATTCTGTCCCATCTTTGTTCTTAGGAAAAAACTTCAAGACTACCCGCCCCCCGCGCCCAGTCTCTATCCCAGTTGTATTCTTTCCAGTCAAAAGTCCAGAAGAATGGGTAACACTTTCTGGACTCGATTCCCCTCATCCATCCCCCCCCGGATACAACATTGATCCCCGATCCTGAGAATCAAGTGCCTCTAGGACTTGAGTTGACTTCGCGGACTCTGGGAAGCAGAGGAGGGAAATAAAGGTCCCCAGACGAGACCAAAAAGTTAGAATAAGCCCGAGTCTTGCTCTTCCCCTCTCCCTTCTCAGTTGCGCGACCCTGGTGGCCCAGGAGTGGGGGGCGGCTCGCCCCCGTCCTCGGAGTGAGCGGCCGGGAAGGGGTGCCAGGCGCCCAGGGCTCGGGGGCACCCGGGCGGGCGCAGGGTCGGGGAGGTGCAGACCTGCTTGCTTCTGTCCTCCGCCGCCTTCTTATCGGCTTCCGCCTGCTCGGCTCGATCCAAGGCGTTCTCCTTGTCGAGCTTGAGCATCTGCATCTTCTTCTTGATGGCGTCCATGGTGGCGGCGGCGAGGGGCCCTGGGGCTGCGGCGGGAGCGGCGAGGAGAGCGCGCGGTGGGGCGGCCGAGCCGGAGTGCGAGCGCGGAGCCGCCTGCTGCTCCCAGATATGTACTTTCCCAAGGGGGCGACCGCATTCCTCGAGACAGCCAATACTTTTTTGGAAAAGCTTTTTTCTCCTGCCCCCTTCCCCCCCTCCCTCCGCCCCCTGCCCCCTCCCCGCTCCTTCCCGCGGGGGCCGCGCGCCCATTCGCTGCCGCCTGCCGGCCTCCCAGTTGACGGTGGATATGACTATATATGGGGACCGGAGCCGCCGAGGCGGCGGCCGGGTGAGGCCGCCCTGTTTCCAAACCTGCGCGCCAGGGACAGGGCGCCGGGGCCTCGCTAGGGCCCAGCCGGGCCGAGGCGCTGACCTCTGCCCTGTGCCCTCCGCGCCCCCTCCTCCCGGGGCCCACGCCCGGCCGTCAGGGTGCCCAGCCGGGCCTTCCCGAGCCCCAGAAGGCCGGGGGAGCGGGGCAGGTAGTGGGTGCGCGTCGCCCGGGGGAGCCGCCAGACCCCCGCGCTCTCAGCATCCGGCCCAGGGGGGCCCCCAGCAGCCGCCGCGCCTGGTCCCCGCCCGGCGCGTTCCCCGCACCCGCCCCGTGTGCTTCCCCCGCAGCTCTCAGCTTGCCAGGTGTCATCTGGGTGCTCCCTCTCTGGAGGAGGGAAGGGAGAGTTGAGAGGAAGACGTGGGGACTCCTCCTGAGACTTTCCTGCTGGTGCGGGTCAGGATGTCTGGGAATCTGTCTTCTGAGTGCGTTTCTCCCCAGGGGAGGGACAGTCAAAGACTTTAGGGACACAGGACCTAGTTGGCTTAGTTGTGCATGTGCCTGTGTGTGGTGGTATGGCAAAGGGTAGGCTGTGTGTGTTGGTGTGTAGGTGGGTGGGTGGGAGTTTGAGAAAGAACTTTGAGCTTAGACTCAGGCACCATGGTCTTCAATCTCTATCACCAGCAGCTGTGTGACCTTGACAAGTAACTTAGCTTCAGTGTCTTTTTAAATCCAGGGGGTAGATGATCCCTGAGGTGCCTCCAGATCTAACTCTTTGTCATTATTCTTGCACTGATTTTAGGGAGTCGGCCTTTTTCCATGTTTAGGTGCTCAGATACCAGGTTGCCAAAACGCTGACTTATCCCAGCTAAGTCATTGTATCCACAGCCATAGCCCCGAGGAGGGATCAGGTCCAGCTGTGTATAGTGAGCTCTGCTTGGAGGCAGGAGGGTTTCCCTTCCATTTCTCACTCCTCCCAGCCCCCAAGAGAGAAAACCCTATTCTTTTCAGAGCTTTGGTGGATGGGGAAGAAAGGGGGCTGTCCTAGGGCCCTGTCTGACACTGGCCGAGGCAGAGTTGGTGAGGGTCTTGTTAACAGTCTCCGCAGAGTAATTCACAACCTGTACTACATGGATACCGAATATTCCCCAGACGGTTTCTGAGCAGATTAGGCAGGCCAAACGACTTGTAAGTCCTTCAGAGAATGATCAAGTTCCTCTCCAGGATTTTGTCAGGTTTCTTCCACTAACCCAACTGCCCAGGTGGGAAAAAATACCCTGAATTAGTGGTCAGAACATTAGACCTGTGTGCATAGGAGCCGCCTGGCACAGAAATTCACCAAGACCCTGTAATCACCCTATGTCAACCCAGCCACTGGAGCACAGAAAAGGTTGAAGGCCTCTGGGCAATAGACGGATGCATGGACCACAGGGAGCTGACTCCCTAGCTTGGAGCTCAGCACAGGGGGCAAGCAAGAGTAGGGACTCGGGAGTTAGACTGCAGAATCCAAACCTGGCCTGGCCACCTCCTTGCAATGTGGCCTTAGCCAGGTTACAACCCCTTTAAGCCCCCGTTTTCTCTTCTGTAAAAGTAGGTGTAAAAAGTCTCCCTTCTTAGCGTTGTCACAAGATGAAAATGAGATAAAGAGTGAAAAGCATTTGTCTAGCACATAGCCAAGTGCTCGGTCGATAGTGGCTGTTTGGGTGGCAGACGGCAAATCATTTCTCCTCTCTGGGACTCAATTTTCTCATCTATGAAACCAGGCAACCAAACTAAGGAAACTTCTGGAGAGATCATATATTACTGACTTTCCTCCACTGTGCCTAATAGAGCAGAGGATCTCGTTAAAGTTTCCCGAAATGTCTGGTGCTACAGATAATTCATTAAACACACTGTTGGTGAGCACCTCCTATATACTAGGCAGGCACTAAGCTCTGGGATTCCAAAATGAGTAAGACATGTTCATGCCTTCCAGGTGTTCAGCATGAGCCGGGGTAGAAGAATTCAGAGGAGGAAGTCCTAGAAATGACCACAGGTCATAGCAGACAGAAAAAAACTTTTCTGAGAAATGGTGGTTTTCATTTTTTAAATTATTTTATTTTGTCTATTCTAAAGATTTTATTTATTTGACAGAGAGAGCATAAGTAGGCAGAGAGGCAGGCACAGGGAGAAGGAGAAGCAGGCTCCCCGCTGAGCAGAGAGCCCAATGCGGGGCTTGATCCCAGGATCCCAGGATCATGACCTGAGCCGAAGGCAGACACTTAACCGAGCCACCCAGGTGCCCCTAAAGTGGTAGTTTTTTAACTGATTTTAGAGGGGTGCCTGGATGGCTCAGCCGGTTAGGCATCTGCCTTTGGCTCGGGTCATGATCTCAGGGTCCTGGGATCAAGCCCCGTATTGGGCTCCTTGCTCAGCGGGGAGCCTGCTTCTCCCTCTCCCTCTGTCTGCTGTTCCCCCTGCTTGTGCTCTTTTGCGCTCTCTCTCAAATAAATAAATAACATCTTAAAAAAAAAAACAAAGTGATTTTAGAGGAAGGGTAGCAGTTAAAGAGAAGGGTATTGTATGAGCCGAGAGAAAAACAAGGAATGTTTGACAGTGGTTGGACAGTAGGTTTATTTGGAGGGTGAACTGGGACATGAGCCTGGAAAGGTAGATGGGGGGCATATGGGGCTTGAATTTCGGGGTTCACATATTCAGGTCTTCTTGTGTGGGTTGAAGCCAATCACTTCTGTTCCCCTCCTGCACCTCCCACCTAAGTCTACGTGCAGAGGAGGAAGCCTGGGGTGTCCAAGTGTGGAAACAGAGCTACATAGAGCCAATTTTTTAAAAATCCCGTAGTACCACATCATTATCCCTAGACTGATGGGTTAACATAGCAGGTCCCTGGGCTCAGTAATTTCCATTTCATCACTGTTGAGAGTTTGCTCCATAAACAGCCTGACAGCCAGACCCCACCCAGCTTGATGGACTGCACATCCATGACCTCTGTGTCATCAAGAGCTAGGACAAGCAAACATCATGACTTAACTCAAACAATTTCTTCCGTACTGGACAGGTCTCCTGGTGGCTGGAGAGGATCAAAAGGGCTGGGCTGGACAGCCACATGCTACAGTGTATATCCCTGTTCCCAGCTGATTGGCCATGACTCAAGGACAGATCCATAGGCTAACCAGGGACCTAAGTTGCAGCCTGTCAGACAGAGGGACTGGGATACTCAGCTTCTCTCTCACTGCACTTTGAATGAAGGAACATGGAAAATGTGAATCATTAGCTGTGGCTGCTGAAACCAAAAGGGGTTTGCAGTCTTGGGCTAGAGATGTCTTAATGAGGGTGATTAAGGCTATTTATGCATATTTGGGCTTTCTCTCCAATCAGGGTCTTGGTAGGATTACACATCCCCACCCAGCTAAGTTAGTTGTGGTAATGATTTGTTTTGGCCAAGGAAATGTGAGCAGAAGTGACATATGGTGGACCGTTTAAGAGCACATGCCTCCTCATGTTCCTTTTTCAAGACTGTCACTGCTCTGTCATTCTGGGTTCCCAAGTAGCTATGATAAGAGGAATTCCCCCTCTCCCCAACTAACCCTTGGTGGACATGTAGCCAGAGTGAGATATAAACCTTTGCTATTTTAGGCCACTGAGGTCGGGGGTTACTGGAGCATAACTAGCTTTCCTTGACTAATACACTGCAATAGGCCATGCATCCTCTAAGTTATGAGGAAGCAGAGAAATTGAGTTATGGAGAAGGAATGGAACAGACTTATCAAGATAAACAGAAAGACCATGGAGAGAAAGAGACTGGGAGAATGTGATCATATTTCAGTTCCAAGGGTCCTTGTAATAACTCTCTTTCCTGGGGTGACATGAGAAAGTCTGTGTTCTTTGAAAGTAAAAAGCTGGGCGCCTGGGTGGCTCAGATGGTTGAGCGTCTGCCTTCGGCTCGGGTCATGATCCCAGGGTCCTGGGATCGAGTCCCGCATCGGGCTTCCTGCTCCTGGGGAGCCTACTTCTCCCTCTGCTTCTCTCTCTCTCTCTCTCTCTCCCCCCCCCCCCCCTCTCTCATGAAAAAAAAAAAAAAATATTTAAAAAAAAAAAATAAAAAAAAAAAAAGTAAAAAGCTGACCAAATCATGCTGGTGTAGAAGCCTGCACAACACCTTTGGCCCCGAGCTTCTGTATGGACACTAAGAACGTCCGTGGAATTTCCAGATTTCTCCAGGGCTTGGTATCAGTCATTTCTCAATAAATGTTTGCTGAATGACAGTTTATTAGCTGTTATTCATACGAATAAGTAGGAGAAACAGTACCGGGAAGGAAAGATAACAAAACTAGGCGCGAAAGATTTATTTCCATTGAAAATACAGACTCCGTGGTTTATTTTCTGAAGAATAAATATAAGTATTTTGATAGGGTAGGACAAACGTCCCTCAAATATTTATTGAACACCTTTGGTGTGCAAGGCATTTAACCTGAGTTTATGAGGTCAGGGAAGGTGGATAAGAGACATGGATCTTTTTCTCCAGGAAAATATGTATGTTGCAGATAAAACCCTCTCTCTGGGGGTCATTTATTTGTGTATTTCCAACAGTGTTACGACCATTGTCCCAAATGCTGTCTGGGCCTCCTATAGCTATGAGGATCACGTATCTCAGGTTTTATATTTTATATCAGAGCTTTAATATTAAATAGACTGTTCCTTTACCCCCATAAGAGCACCCCTACTTGCCACACTACATTTCCCAATATTTGGTTAGAAAAGAGAGTTAA